TGAGACTGAGCGGAGCTGCAAGTCAGCGCTGTTTGGATGAGGCATAAGTTACCTACATCACGAAAAACGGCTTCGATGGGTGAGCCCCTTCTCTGCAGAGCCCTCGGCCCTAGGATCCCAATACCGTCTTTGACTCACACCGCCTCTAAGAAAACGGCACGAAAAACAAAAAGCCGGCCTAAAGCACCACCGGACTTCACCCCATGCCAGCCGGTGCACGTTTCACGTTACATGTGGGAGCCAAGATGGAGTTGTAAAGAGTTTCTCTCCCATTTCAACTCCCACGGCCACGCGCGCCGGGCAGCGGCGGCGCTCAGCCCGGGCCGGGCCCCGCCCGCGGCCGCGGAGGGGAAGCGCCGGGCGGCGGCGGCGGCGGGCGGGGGCCGGGGCGCGGGAGGCGCCGGCGCGCTTCCGGGAACTGGGCGGGCGGAGCCGCGCTTCGGGGAAAGGGCCCGGAGTCCGGTCAGGGGCCGGGGCGGCCAGCTTGGAGCAGCAGGTGGGGCGCGGCCGCGGCCGGGCGGCGGGCGGCGGGCGGGCGGCCGGAAGAGTGCGGGGCGGGCGGGCGGGCCCGGGGCGCCGCGGCGCCTGGAGGAAACCCTCTCACTCACCTCGGGAGACGCTCCGACTCCGGCCTCTCCGCGCCGACGACGCCGGTCCGCGTGTCCCGAGCTCGGAGGCGAGGGCGGGCGGCTCAGGAGGCGGCGGACTAACGAGAGAACCGACGGAGGACGGCGGGCGGCGGGCGGGGAGCGCGAGCGAGCGAGCGAGGGCGGGCGCGCGGCGCAGGGCGGGCGGGGAAGCGACGTGCGCGCCCCCGCGTGCCCGGCGGGCTCGGCCTGGACGCGGTCGTGGCCTCGCGCGCGCGCGCGCGCTCCCAGACCGGCCGCGATTGCTCGGGAGAGCGTCCCCGCCCTCCACGCCGGGCGCTGGACCAATCCCGGCGGCCGCGCGAGGCATCACGGGAGCTCGGGGGCTATAAAAGACCTGGTTGCTATTTTGTGCTCCCCGAGTCACCAGTCCTTTAAGCGAGCGGGGCGGCGCTTGGTGCGCGTGCGCGGTCCCGCTACCCCTCCCAAACTGCCAACTGTGCGCGCAGGCGAGCTGGGCCCGGCCTGCCTGCCTGGCTGACGCGTGCGCCCAACGGGCTTGGCCCCGGAAGACCGGACGCCTGCGCAGTGGGGGCTGAGGTGACAGCCCTCCGGGTGGGGCGCGGGTCCGTCATGGCGGAGTCCTGGGCTGGGCAGGCCCTGCAGGCCCTGCCGGCCACGGCGCTGGGCGCTCTGGGCGCCCTGGGCAGCGAGTTCCTGCGGGAGTGGGAGGCGCAGGACATGCGTGTGACCCTCTTCAAGCTGCTGCTGCTGTGGCTGGTGCTGAGCCTCCTGTGCGTCCAGCTGGCGTGGGGCTTCTACGGGAGCACGGTGACCGGGCTGTACCACCGCCCAGGTGAGGCCCCCACGGCCCTCCGTGCGCTGGCCGCCCTCACGCCCCGCGGAGGGCGCCGCCGGGCTCCCCAGAACCCCCGTAGGCTACCATGGGCCCCCAAAGAACCGCATCGCAACCTGACGCTCTCCTCTGACCCACGCCAACATACCAGTCCACGCAAAAAACGCCAGTAGTCCGCCCGTCACGTTATAACTCCCTTTTGGACCCTCACCACACTAGTGACAACACACTAGTTCCCTAGGGCCCCCGCAGACTCTCCTCCAAACACCATAGCCTCTCACCTGCCTGGGTGAGGCCTGCTCTGACCCCCTGGCCGCTGCAGCTCTGGATGTGTTCCTGCCCCCAGGTCTGGGCGGCCAGAACGGATCCACACCCGATGGCTCCACGCATTTCCCTTCGTGGTGAGTATGTCTGTTCCCATCTCAACCCCGTGCCAGGCAGGCAGAGGGACACGCCTGTGCCGGGGACCGGGAGGGGAGTTCCCAGGGCAGGAGTCCTCCAGCTCAGTGGCTCAGCAAGTAGAGCTCAGGTGTCAGGGGCCAGGACGTGGGGACCGTCCCTTTGCTGTTCCGTACCTGCGGGGTGGACTGTGCCATTCCCGATCTCAGAGATGACAGGGTGAGTGCCTTGGCCTGCACTCCCCTGCAGGCCCTCCGCTGGAGAGGCGGCCTCGGTCCTGCACGGACTGGCCTCGTCAGGATCAACTGCCCACCTGGGGCACAGGAGCTCCTTCATCAGGGGTTCTTTCAGCTAATCTCAGGGCTCCTACCACCTGGCAGGGACCCAGGCCCTGCTTACAGGGGGAGCCAGAGATTTGGGGGAGGGGGGTAGTAGCTGTGCAGGGGTGAAGGTGGTTAGAGGTTTCTCTTAAGAGAGATACTTTGAGGGCAAAGGCTGGGACTGCTGAAGTGTGCCACAGAGACAACGGCGAGAACAGGCCCAGAGGCCCGGACAAGGTGACCTGTTGGAGGACTAGACAAGGCTGTGATGCTGGAGCTCCAACATGAAGGCCTGCGGGGGCCTGCAAAGCCCTGGCCAGGGTGGGGAACGTCTGGGCCTGCCAGGGCTTTGGGATGAGTTCGTGAAGAGTGTGACCAAACAGCAGGCAATTTGTAGGTTGGTCATTTTGTTGGCCCGTGAGAGGTGTCATACATACCCACAGGGCCCTGGACAGAAGGGTCCCCACCCCGGCCCCGACTTTGGGAGCTATTGAAGGACTGAGTCACCATCAGGCAGTGGCGAATCTGATTTGCTTTTCATCTGCCTGCTTTGGGGCAAGGACATAAAGGGGTCCAGTTAGAGAGGGCAAGGGTCAGTTAGGAGACCTGCACTGGCCAGGCTCTCTCCTTGGGCAAAGGGGGAGGGAGTCTGTCGGGAAGGGGGTGGGCCTGGCGTGGGCTGTGGGGGCTCAGCAGAGGTTTGGGTTTTGTGTGGGTTTATGAGCTCCACTCGGCCCCAGGAGCAGCAGGAGAAGATGGACCTCGGGGCCTGTGGTGCTGCCCGCCGAGTAACCCTCTCTTTTCTCCATCCCCTTTAGGGAAACGGCAGCAAACGAGCCTCTCAAAACCCACAGAGAATAAGGGGAGGCAGCCGAGGGGTCTCCAGGGACATCACCGGGTCTGCTGGCTCCCACTCTGGGCTCTCCTGCTGCCCAGACCCCAGGGATGACTGCAGGGGGTCCGGGTTGGGGGGTAGGGAGTACCCCAGTGCTTGTATTGGGCCCCCACTGCCCCAGGCCCTGGGCCCGTGAAGTTCGCCTCGCCCTGACCTGGTGCCTTAGGAGAGCCCTGCTGCTCGCGGGGTCAGGAGGCGCCTCTGGGGGAGGAAGCCACAGTCCATTTCCTGTCCCTCTTCCCACCCCCTGGGAGTGACCCACAGGGATTTGTCCCTCACGAAGCCTGGAATTTGTAAGGGAAGCCTGTTTTCACTTAAGCCCAGGTTTTCTGAATTGGGTCTTGCTGTGTTGGCAGGGAACTAGGAATCTTGGCCTGGACACAGCCTTATACCCTATGGGTACTTAATTGGCCACTCAAGTCTAAGGCAGGGGCAGCTGGCACCATCCAGACATGGAGGCACCCGGCACCCACCTTCTGGTCCCATCCGAGCTCTCCAGGTGCGAGCAGGCTATGGACACTGCCTTACCCTGAGCACCATACTCCTACCCCTCTGTCCTTGGAGGGAAGCTGGTGCCTCTCTGCCAGGTGCTGAGAGGCTGAGCCCAGGGTGACTTTCCACCCTCAACACCTAGGTGCTAAGTGCCCCGGGTGGTGGGTCTGCCCCTCGGGGATCCTAAGCAGTTAGTGCAGGCAGCCCCTCCCGCAGCCTCCTCACTTCCCATCTTGACCTGGAACCACAGGAGCTTCATCCTAAGAGCGGGGGCTCCCTCTAGTGCCATCGCAGCCCCCAAGAACTGGGAAGGCCTGCCCAAGGGAGGGGTGGCAAAGGCCAGTTCCCGAAGGCCTGTGGCCTCGACCTGCCCCCTTCCCATCCGCCTGCCTGTGCCTAGACGGCTGCCCAGGCGCTCACTGCAGACACCGAGGCCGCAGGGTGATGGCTCAGCGGCCCGGGTGACCCCTGACACCACCAGAGGGAGGGCCTCTCATTCCCCTGGGGGCCCAACGAGGATGTGGCTGATTAAACATGGAAGCGCAGCGGTGTGTGGTTATTCAGAAGGCCGAGGGCATGCATGCACAGAGGAGATGGGACAGGATACCCCAGGGCTGTTGTCCCTCAGCACCCAGAATTTAGTGCCTTGCAAAGTTGGGGGGTTGATGCCAGCTCCCTAAAGTAGTGTGGGGTGCCCAACACGGGCACTGTCCCGCTAGTTCTAGACCTGCCCCTCTCGGGGGGAACCCCCTGAGCCTGTCCCAGAGGCAGGAAGGCAACCATTGGGCTGGCACCCCAGGAACCCCGTGGGCAAAGGACAGTGAAGCGGGACTCGGGCAAGCAAGAAGGAAGGAGGCTCGTTTAATGTTTTAGGGGTCAGCGGAGTCCAGTAGTTGGCCAAGGGGCCCAGGTCAGCCCAGGGAAGGCAAGCCCCAGAGGAGGCCTAGCCTGCCCTCCAGCAGCCCTGGCGTGGTGAGCCTGGCTGGCTGACTGCTGGGCAGCAGGCTGGGCCAACTTGTGCCCCTCAATCACCCACAGGCGCAGCAGCCTACTGAGCCAGCCCTGCCCAGGGAGAGGCAGCAGTTTGCACTCATGGGAAGTAAACCAGAGGAGACTGGCAATGCCCCTTTGAAGTGTGAGAACCCTGGTGAGGTAGGTCGCGAGGCTCGATCCTCCCCCAGGGGGGCTTTGAGGCACAGGCAGCACAGGCAGAGGGAAGGCCAGAACGGGTGCTGCTCAGACCCCAAGCAGGCAAGAGTGGGTCCGCGGGAGCGTGGGCAGAAACAAGACACTGGTGAGCTGGTCCGTCACTAAGAAGTGGGTCTTGAAACTGAAGTGGCACAGGATGAGGGGTGTGGGTGGTGTGTCCCGCCACAACCAGACAGCCAGAACCAGCCCACACCCTTGTGTTCTGCCTCAGCTTCCTGGCCAGCCCGTGTAGAGAGCCCTCCTCACTTCAGGGTGTAATAGTTCGTGGGCACAAAGGGCATCTTGCTGACCACGGCCTCCTGCTGCCTCCGCCGCACCTCCACCAGGAGCGGGGTGCCCGGCTGGCTGTACTCGGGGGGCACGTAGCCCATCGCCACGTTCCTCTTCAGGCAGGGCGAGGGGCAGCCGCTGGTCACAGCGCCTGCGGGCAGAGCCGTGTCAGCACCACCCTGACCGGCCGGCGTGCCCACCCACCGAAGGGAAGGCCCAGCGCTGCCAGCCCCCATCCACCTACCAATCACGGTGCCCTCCGCACTCAGGATGGGGCTGTGCGCCCGCATCGGGGCCCCCTCGCACGTGAGCCCCACACGCCGCCGCGGCACCTGGCCCTTCAGCTGCGGGACGATGACCGCGGCCCCCGGGAAGTCCATGGCCGCCCGGCGGCGCCTGCCTGCAGCGGACACCAGGCCTGAGCCGCCGAGGCCCCGGTGCCGTCCCGCGCGGGGCTCCCGGGGGCCCTGTCCCTCCCCAGCCACGGCCCCTGGTCCCGGAAGCCACGCTGCCCTCGGCCTGCCCAGCCAGGGCCTCTGCACTGATGGGGGAAGCCACGGTACCCTTCAGGGAATGAGGCCCAGGAGGCGGCCACTGCCCCTCAGGGTCCCCCCCACCAGAGCCCAGCTCACCCAGCGTCCAGCCCAGGCCGCCCTCCACGGGCGTGGTGTGCTCGTCGATGTCGCTGCCGTAGAGGCAGAGGCCGGCCTCCAGGCGCAGGCTGTCCCGGGCCGCCAGCCCCGCCAGCCGCACCTCAGGGTTCGCCAGCAGAGCCTCTGCCAGGCGCACCGCCCTCGCCGCGGGCACCGAGATCTGCGGGGACACCGGGGGCGGTGGGCTGCTGGCCCGCGTCCACCGCTGCCCCGCCCCGCCCCCCCTCACCCACCTCCACGCCGTCCTCTCCCGTGTAGCCGCAGCGGGTCACGCGGCAGCCGGGCACGCCGAACACCTCCATCACGGCGCTGGTCATGAAGGGCAGCTTCCGCAGGTCGCCCGCCACGCCGGCCTGCAGCACCTGGGCTGCGGCGGGGCCTGGGCGGGGACAGTGACTGAGCGTCCAGGCCCCGCGCCCCCAAAGCCGGGGCAGCCCTTTCCCGGGCAGCCGAGCCCTGAGCACGGTCCCCACTGCAGGGGGAGGAAGGTGCTCCTGCCCCGTAGCCCACTGAGTCTGGGCCCCCAGCTTAGAACAGGCACTCACCCCCCCCCCCCCACAGCCACCCCCTCCCGCTGCGGCCTCTGCTCCAGCCCAGGAAGCCCCGCCTGGCCGCTCACCTTGCAGGGCGAGCAGGGCATTGTCCACCACCTCCAGGCCCACGTCGCCGCCCCTGCTCTGCAGCTCCCTCACCTTGTCCTGCACGGGAGGACGGGCGCCATGTCGGCTTCCAGGCCGCTGCGCTCCGTGGAGCAGGCTGGCTCTCGCCTCACAAGGCCGTGCAAGTGGCAGGGGTGACCCAAGCCCGGGTCTGCGGGCTCTGACACCAGCTCCGCCTCCACGCTCACCAGCGTGTGCCCACCTCAGGGCGGCTCAGCTTCCCCGCCCACCGCCCAGTGGAACCGGGCATGCTCCGGGGCCTGCTGCTCATTCGCTCAGAGGTCCTGCCGGGCCCTGGCCCTGCCAGGCTGCCTGTCCGCTCTGGGTACCTGCATGAGGGCCAGGTCCTTGTCCCGGCAGCCAGCGTTGGACACCACGTACAGGTATCCCTCGGCGGCGTTGGTCACAATCAGGTCGTCCAAGATGCCCCCGGCCTCGTTGGTAAACAGCGACAGGGCCCCCTAGCGCCAGAGCGAGAGCTGTGCATCCGGGTCCAGAAGGCCAATGTCAAGTGTGAGACACACCGGGGGCCACTCGGCCACCGCAAACTCAAGAGCTGTGTGTGTGTGTGTGTGTGTGTGTGTGCACGCAAGGGGCAAAGCTGGGTCACCCAGGCTCCTGCCGGAGCCCAGATATCTTTGTTGTTAATCCTCACGGAGGACATTTTTCCAGAGAGAGTGGAAGGGAGAGGGAGAAAGAGAAACATGGATTGGTTGCCTCCCACACATACCCTGATAAGGGATGGGGATTGAGCCTACAACTTAGGCACATGTGTCCTTGATCAGAATCAAACCCGGGACCCTTCAGTGCCCGGGCTGGACTCAACCCACTGAGCCAAACCAGCCAAGGTGAGCCCCGGCATTTGATCCTCTGCACTGAGAACATCTCTACTTCGTCCTCTCCTTGGGGTCCTCCCTGAACTGGGGGGGGGGGCCCTCTGCACCCCACCCTCTCAGTACTGAGAGCCCCACCTCACCTTGAGTCTGTGACACCCAGGACTGCTGCTCTACCCCACCCAAACCCGGGACGGCAGCCCATCCCCCAAACCCGGGGCAGAAAGCTCCCGGTCCATCCGATGCCTCACGTGCTGCCGCCCCAAAGTGCTGAGGCTGCCGTGGCCGCCGCACGCCCTGGAGCGAGGCTGCGTCACGCGGGACCTGGTTAAATGCCGGCTCTGCCAGGCGGGGCTGCCCCGCTAGGAGGAGGCTGTGGTTCAGGGACTGCGCGGGGCCAGGCGCACGAAGGTCACGAGCAGGACCGGCCTCCCAGCCCGAGGAGGGGAGGACAGCATGGGGCAGGCCCATCTCTGCAGAGGGTGGACATGACGCAGGGACTCCATCCCCCAAGACTGCAGAGCTGAGTCTGACCGCGCTGCGCCCCGGCCCCACGTGAGGGCTTGCCGCGGGACCAAGAGCGCCCACCTGGTTTGGCCTCAGCTCTGCGATATCTCCCACCACCAGACTCTCCATGAGCTTCACCCGGTCACGACCGAGTATCTTGGTCTGAGAAAAAACCCGAAAGCCTCAGGACAAAAAGAAAACAAACACGCAAACAGAGGAGCAAGGCCTCAGGGCCCCAAGATAGCTCAGTCAGGAAGCCCCTGGCCAGGATCCTCCTCTCCACTCCAGGCCCAGCCCCACCGCCAAGCGCCCCTTCTGGGTGTGCAGGGGCAAAGTCCCCCACTTCCGATCTCCCAGCATAGGAGGGGTGCCCTGGGGGAGGCTAAGGGCTTTGAAGTGCCATCACCTTCCTGAAATACCGCCCTTTCCCTTCCCAACCCCATGCCCAGGGCAGTGGAGAACACGGGAAACCCCAGGGCACCCAGGCCTCCCACTGGGCGGGCGGGCGGGCGGCTGCAGAGGCAGAGAGGAGCCCTTGGGGGGCTGGCGAGTTCATTTCCAGCCACCGACCCCCGGAGGCCTGCAGCCCCTCTGAGGGGGCGCCCGGAGCCGGTCCCCAGCACGGAGCCGCGGGCGGGGCGTCCGGGGGGCAGGGAGCCGGGCGGGGCGTCGGGCCGGCGCTCACCTGCAGCATGTGGGACACGTCGAAGAGCGAGCAGCGGCGGCGCGTGTGCAGGTGGGAGTCGACGTGGCCGTCGCGGTACTGCAGCGGCAGCCGCCAGCCCGCGAAGACCACCAGCCGCCCGCCGTGGGCCAGGTGGAAGTCGTGGAGCGGCGTCCTGCGGAGCCCGTCCTGGTCCCGCGGGGCGGCCGGCTGAGTCCCCAGCGCCCGGCCCGCCTCCCCGCCCCCCGGGACCCGCCCCCGCACCCCCTGTCCCACCTGCCAGCCGCTGAGCCGCCGGCGGGGGGCCCGGGGGAGCGCCCGCCCGCGGACGCCCAGGTGGGCGGCCCAGCTCGCTGCCCACTGCATGGTGGCCGCCGCCGAGGCCGCCGCTGTCGGGCACGCTGGGAGATGTAGTCTGGACTCGGTCAAGCCAGTTTCTCCCACAAAGGGGACCGGAGGGGGGTGGGCGGCCCGAGGCAGGCGGGGCTTCGGCTCTCCAGGGACAGGGAGTCCCAGCGGCAGGAAGACAGCCCGAGGCCTTCCTCTAGCCGGCGGTGGGAAGGTGCCAGCCAGTTAGGCCGCTCAGAATCCCAGCCTCCCCCTGCTGACCGCCCTGCCCCCGGGGCCGAAGTTCAGACAGAGGGCTGGAGGCTTGAATGGCATGTTCCCGACACACGGAATGAGAGGAGGGGGAAAGGCGGAGGCTTGAATGGCATGTTCCCGTCAAGTGAGAGGAGGGGGAAAGGCGGAGGCGACAGGAGGGAGCCAGGGGCAGCACAGGAACCTGGCCACACAGGGGTCCCCGTCCGTCCCCCATCCCCCACCCCCCGCACACACAGGCAGCAGTAGCCATGCATTCCAGTGTTTATTGATCTTGCTGCTCACCAGGCCCTGCTTCATTAGCAACAGCTGAACAGAGTAAGTGGCGTGAGGGGCCCCCGGTGAGAACCCTGCGGTGAGAGTTCCTGACCCTCCCGGGAAGCTGTGGGGCCACACAAGCACCTCCTTTTCCAGGTCCTGCAACTGCTGCCCTGCTGCCTCCTACAGCCGCCAGGGCCACACACACACACACAGACACATACACACATGCACGCACATACACACACACGCACACACAGGGACACACACACGCACACACACGCATGCACACACGCACAGACACACACAGGGCCACACACACACACGCACACGCACACGCACACGGAGCAGCTGCCTTGAGGCTTCTGGAAGGAGCAGCTGGGAGGAGGGAGGAGGATGCACTCTGGGCTGGGTCAGATGGCAAGCAGGTCCCAGGGCTCATTCTCAGGCCCCGGTCTTGCCACAGGCACCTGTCCAGGCCAGGGGGGCAGACCTACATGAACACACACCCAAAGGCCGGCTCAGAGACCAGGGCTCCTGCGGCCGTGGCCAGCTCTGCTCCCAGGCAGGCAGCCGGTGCTCGGACAGGGAAAGCCTCTTGTGGGCACAACAGGGAGGAAGCGAGGGCACCACGGCTCCCACGTCCCCCTGGGCTTCGAGGCTGAGTGCCCTGCAGAGCACCGAGGTCTTGCCTCCTGGCCTGAGGTCAGTTTGGCTCAGATAAACTAGAACATTCCTGTAGAAGTCGCCCAGGGCTGGACGGGCCGGTGCTGGGAGGGCACCCGGCTCACAGCGCGCAGGGCAGGGGGCAGGCAGAGGCAGCAGTGAGCATGCTGGCAGGAGGGGCCCCGGGCACGCTGGGGCTCTTAGTTAGTGGGACTGGAGCGTGTTAGGGCGGGGAACGGCGTTTTGGGTGCAGCCAGGTGCAGACAGAGTGTACCCCACACCCAGCGCTCAGGCTGAAGCGGCGCAGTGAGCCCCGAGAATCTTGACTGTGGACGTGGCCCCGGCAGAACGGGCGGGCGGGCAGGCAGGCGGCACACGGAATGCACCGGGGAAGCGCTTCGGCCTCTGACGGCCCAAGGTCGGCCCGGAAGGTCAGCGTCTCGGGTAGGAGCGGCTCAGGTATAGGAGAGCAAGTTCAGGTCGTAGCAGCCATCCACCTGCAACACAGAAGCCATCAGGTCTGACCCTGGCCGGCCGGCCAGGGCCACGGGGGCCAGGCAGAGGGACGCGCACGTCACTCACATCGAAGCGGCCGATCCTCCTGGAGGTGCGGCTGGCCCGGACCATCTCCGTCAGCGCCCACATCTGCTGCACCTCCGAGGACACCTTGCTGGGGTCCGGGAAGCCCTGCTCGGAAGGAGGGGTCAGTGGCCGGGGGTGTCCCCCAATAGTGCCCTCAGAGCTCCGGGGAGGCCAGGCCGGGCAATGGGCCCCCCGGCTGAGACCGGTCACATTCCAAGCTGGCTTGGGAAATAGGAGGTCGGAGCAGCCCCACACGGAGAGCCTCAAGTCCCTGGACCTCCAGGAGGGAGGTCGGGAGGATGGCACAGTGTGCCCGGGGCCCAGGCCCAGCCCCGGGTCCCTGCGGATCGGGCCCACCTGGACACGAGAGCAATTCGCTGGCGGCTCTTCCCCGGGTGAGGCTTACCTCAACGAGGGGCGCGGGCTGCTCGCAGGGCGCTGGGTGGGAAAGCCACTTGGGGAAGGTCATGGAGGGGCTCTGCAAAGCACGGAGGGAGGGAGGGAGAGGGGGAAGGTCCTGGGACCAGTGTCTGAGGTCCTGGGAGCCTTGACCCCTGAGAAAAGCCTGTTCAGGGTCCACAAAGGCCCCGAGGGCAGTCAGACTCCCTAAGATCTGAGGGAGGCCCCAGGAACACAAGGAACAGAATATCTCCGCTCTGAAAGAGGTGGGGGGCCCCAGAGACGGGGCCCGGGGGGACCTAGCGTCCCTCTCCTGAGCTTCCCGCTCGCCCTCTTGGCTAACTTCCATGAAAGCCTCCCTCGGGGTCTGGTTATCTCGACCCCCCACCCAGCTCTGCCAGCCTCCTAGGGAACGGCTGGCCGCAGCTGAGCGAGCCTCACCTTCGCCCCCTGCTGGTAGACCTGCAGCTCCTCCACGGTGAAGGACAGCCACAGGGGCGAAGGCTGCCTCAGGATCAGGCGCAGCTCCAGCACGCGGCCCACGTCACACAGCATCTGGCACACACACACAAGGCCCCAGCGAGCCCCGCTCACCACCCCGGGCCTCCCAACGGGCAGTGAGCCGAGCAGCCACCTCCCAGGCCTTTGGGAAAGAAAGAACACTGGCCCTCGGAGGCGGTTCCCCAAGAGCCACAGCCCAGGACAGCCCGGCCCCCCTAACCCCTCCCGGTATCCCCGTCCAGTTCTCAGGCGCCCAGCAAGCCCTCAGCCGGCCACCTGGCCATGCCCTGTCCCCGCTGACCTGGTGCTTGGACAGCGATACATACTCCTGAGCGCCCTCCTCACTGTGGGGGTCCGGCATGAGGCAGTGGTCCCGCAGGCAGGTCACCCACTTGGCCTGCGTGTGGATCGAGGTGTACTGGCGCACACGGATGCTCAGGAAGGCCGTGTAGTAATTCTTGAACGTGATCTCCTGCAGCTGCAGCACACATAGCCCACCATCCCGGATCAGGCCTGGGCCCAGGGCCTGAGCCGGCTCACAGGCCCCGTCGCCTCCTCCCCTCGGGTATGTCCTCTGCTGCCAATCTGCTCAGCATCCTCTGAGGCTCAGTGTCGCTCTCCTGAGGGAGCTGACAGCCTAAGTGAGGAGGTTGCATGAACCAAAACTGCAGGTTGTGCCGCATCCAGGACGCTGCCAGGGGGTCAGAGCCTCAACTCGGGGGGAGGAGGGACATGGACCCGTAAGGTTCGAAGGGGAAGAGTTCACCCAGTGGACTGAGAAAGGCAGAGGATGTAGACAGGGAGGATGTCTGGCTACAGCAGCTCTCATCACTAGATGCTCATCAGAACCACCGGAGGGAGTTTAAAAATGTGTGCACATAGGTGTACAGGCTCCACCCACACCTCCTGCACCAGGACGTCCCAGCTGGGGGAGTGTGCACAGGGCTGAGAGGTAGGCAGGCACAGACACCAAGTGGCCCCGAATGCCAGGCCAGCAGAAACGGATTTTAGCCCGGACGGCGTGGGGCACACGCCCGGATTGTGGGCTCCATCCCCAGTGTGAGGCGTGCCGATGGTCAATGGTTCTCTCCCATCATGGATGTTTCTCTCACTCCCTCTCCCTTCCTCTCTGAAATCAATCAATAAAAGATATATTTTAAAAAATAAATAAAAAGAAAATGGACTTGATCCTCTGTGCTGAAGTCCTGCGGGGTCCGGTCACTGTGCAGCTGGCAGTGCAGCTGGAGCCGCTGGGCAGATCCTGCTGAGCAGGCTGTAGGCCTGCGCAGGAGGCAGATCTGGGGTAACTCATTGTCTAGATTCCCAGGACAAAACCACCCCTCTCTACGGGGCTCACCCCTGGATTTCCAACACCGCGCCTGCTACCGTGGCCCTTCCCGCCAGCGCTGCCCTGGACCAGGGGAGAGATGCCTTCTGCTGAGTGTGTGAACTGGAGAAATGAATCAGTGGCTGACTGAGGCGCCAGGGCGAGGCCAGCGCCAAGCTTCAAGTGACCGACCCAGCGCCGGGGGCACGCCCGGGCTCCCAGGTCGGTCCCGCCCGGAACCACGGGAACCGCGGTCGCCCGAGGGGCTGGCTCACCTCGAAGGGCGCGACGCAGGGGAAGGTGACGTCGATGACCAGCACGCCGGGCCGGCCTTGGGCGGTGCGCACATCGCCCACCTGCAGCGCCACGGTGCCCTTCACGTGGCAGGGCACCAACACGCGGGACATGGTGCCAGGCGTGCGGGGCTGGCGCAACCGCCGACCCCAACCTGGGACCGCGGGTCCTTCCCGGCATCCCCAGCCCCGTCCCAAGAACTACAACTCCCGGCAGGCCTCGCGCTGGGCCAGCCCAGCCAATCAGCAGTGCTCAGGGAAGGCGGAAGTGCGCGATAACGTTGCGCGAGAGCCCCGGGGACCCCGCCTAGAAACGGCCCCGCGGCTTTGTAGCCGAACCCTCCGCGCTCCGCGGCGTCCCGCCCCCACCCTGTTCCTGCTTCTGTGCTGCGGGTGGGGAGGGGTGGAGGGTGGAGGGAGTTCGTCAGTTAAAGCTTGTCAGCCATGAGCACCAATGATCATAAGAGCCTGGCCGACATTAATTGCAAAAATAAGTATAAATCCTCCCCCCCTTTACTTGTTAATCCTCACCCGAAGGTATTTATTCCCCAGTGATTTTCTAGAAAAGGTGGAAGGGAGGGAGGAGAGGGAAGCATGGGTGTGAGAGAGAGCCAGCCATTGGTTGCCTCTAGCACGCATTGAACCCGCAACCGGGCATGTGCATTGAACCCGGGACCCTTCAGTCCGCAGACCCACACGCTGTCCGCTGAGCCAAACTAGCAAGGGCTCTTGGTTGCCCTTGGTTTAGGGAAGATAGGATTTACGAGGTGGCTGCAAACTGCTAGTTTCCTGATTACACTTTCCCTGGAATTTTCCTGGCTTCTCACTGTTCTACAACAGAAAGACCTATTACAAAACCCTCGTAATGAAGACAGAGGGCCGTTGGGTGTGATGCAGAGACACCATAGAAGACAGAACCCAGCAGCAGCATCTGAGCAGATGGGCATTTGGTTCCTAACAGAGGCAGCACCTCAGAGCACTGAGGCAGACAGGCTTTCCATAAAGACGGAGAAGCAGATGAAGCAGGATGCCATGTGGGGAGGAAAACGTCCCCCTATCCTTCTAGGCTCTTTTTGGGTCTAATAAGCACATGAACATAAAACACTTAAACAGGAGAAAACAAATTCTCGCACAAATATTTCCCGTTCATCTAAACTTAGAAAAAGACAGGAGCTCACAATTCTCACTCCCACCAGATGGCACGGGCAGCGAGGCCAGGAGACGGGTAAGAATTCCTCCTGCGAGTGCCTGTCCCAGGTCCCGGGTCTGTCAGCGGCCCCAGAGCAGCAGTGCCCAGCCCGTGGTCTCCCAGTGGGCTCCCCAAAACCCTGGGGGAGACACACTTTAGGAAAAATACACTATGAACACATCAAATTAACAGCCCAGGCGAATAGGACTCTTCCCCACATGACACCAACAATGTAATAAAGCTCGTCAAAACATACACACACACACACACACACACACACACACACACACACACAAAACAAAAAAAACCCACAAAACAAAAAAACCTAGACCTAGGGGAGAAAAAGAATTCCCTTCTGGGTTGGCCTGATCATAAATTTGTAGCGGTAGGAAAGGAACCAGGTGTCACTTAGCTATTTGTTTTCTATTTTATGGAATTTTTTTGGTTCTTCAATGCCTCCATTTATTTATTTTTTATTGAGTTGATTGGGGTGACATTGGGCAATTCCCCATATTTGGCCTTTTTGTATTTAGTGCTTTTTTTGTGAGCCACTTTGATTTCCTCTGAGGTCTCCTAGCAACCTTCAGCACAGTCAGGACAGTAGCGCCACCTGCTGGGAAGTGGAGATTCACCCGCTCATAAGAACAGGCTCCCAGATTCAAGGCGGGTGGGACTGTCATAGGAGGGAGGCGGGCTCTGGGCACCTCCAATGATGTTCCTCACCTGATTCTTGGACCCTCAACCTCCCCAAGGTTTTCCCCAGAATCGAACCCATTTCCAACCTCACCCAATGGTAGTTGAGGGGAGGGACCCACAAACATGTCTTTGGGCTGTTGCTCTTACCTCTGAACAGAGTTGGCAAGAGCTGTTAATTTATTTTTAAATATAAAACTTTTTATTTTGGAATAATTCTAGATTTCCCCCCACAATTGCATAGTGAGTACAGGGTTCCTGCCCACAGGTCTGCATAGCTAGTGCCTCCTGTTGTTCACGGCTTCCATAACCCCGGTGCCGACACAGCTAACAAGTGAGCGCTGGTGCTGTGCTTGAACCAAACTCTAGACCTGTGTTTCCCCAGTCTTTCACTGATGGCCTTCTTCTGTTGGAGGATCTACCCGGAACCCGGCGCTGCTTTCAGCCCCGCCTGTGCAGTGTCTCCCAGGCATCCTTGTTTTTAATGACCTTGACGAGCTCGGAGGGTGCTGTGTGGAGAGGGGCTACAGCATTTGGACAAGTTCAAGACCGGGACTCATGAGAGGATCCAGTCTTCTCTTGGCCATGTGCGTGTCCCAGCTTGGAAGGCAGAGACTCCCAGCACAATTCTATCCAACAGCTGGAGTTGTAAGCTCGAACCTATGGTCTGAACACGTGGCCCATTTGCCTGAGTGCTGTAGGCTGCAAGTAAACCAAGTTTGATCAGGTGCGTGTAGTGGAGTAGGATCGAAACCCTTGAAAATGCTATAAACATCTTGACCAAGCCCTTACTTTGCCTCGTGACATCTGCTACAAAATAAAGACTCGGCTTATGGGCTTGGGCGCTGTCTCTCAGGAAGCAGCATCTCCCCGAGACCCAGCTTTCAATCTCTTGTCTGTCTTTTCCAAGCTTTTCAGCAGCCCCCCTCTCAGGGCCACCCTGGGCCGTGTCTGGTGACACAGTGCTGGTCCTGTGTTTTAAAGGATGCCTTTTGGATTCTCTGATGTTTTCCTCATAATAGACTGAGGTTTAGGGAAGACCACCACTGGTGTGGAGCATGCTCCTTGCACAGAGTCAGGGCACATGATATCAAGACGATTTATCCTTGAATCCCAGTTGATGTTGGCCTTGGTCACCGGGATCCTGGGGTGTCTGCCAAGGACTTCACTCTACACCTGCTGTGATTTCTGTCCCACAGGCTGAGCATTGGGAGACAGACACATAATGCCTCCTGGTAATGGAAAGAAGACTGAGTGGGGGGAGTGCTTTGGGATGACACAATTGCCCCTGGTCCTTGAGGGTAGATTGGGCATGAGCAGTGAGGAGGAGGCGGAACCAGTCAAAAGGGCTGGGCCTAAAGGTGGGTGGGGGTTGTTCAGAGAGATCTGTATTTCTGTAATTAATTTGTGCCTTGCCTTGTGGACCTACTTGCAACCTCACCCAATGGTTGTTTAGGGGTGGGACCCACTTTGAGCCACACCCAAAGGTAGTTGAGGGGTGTGTCCCTCTGCCAACCTCAGCCAATGGTAGTTGAAGGGCGTGTCCCACTGCCAAACTCAGCCAATGGTAGTTGAAAGGCGGGTCCCACCGCCAACCTCAGCCAATGGGAGTGGAGGGGTTGGTCCCACTGCCAACCTCAGCCAATGGCAGTTGAGGGGCAGTTCCCACTCCCAACCTCACCCAATGGGAGTTAAGCGGGGAGACACACTTTCTATTTCACCCAATGGTTATTAAGGTGTGCGACTTACTTTGAATCTGACCCAATGGTTGTTGAGGTATGGGTCCCATTTTAACATCACCCAATGGTAGCTGAGGGGCGGGTCCCATGGCCAACCTCAGCCAATGGGAGTTGGAAGGGGTCCCTTGGCCAACCTCAGCCAATGGGAGTAGAGGGATGGGTCCCTCTGCCAACCTCGCCCAATTGGAGTTGAGGGGCAGGTCCTACTGCCAACCCTAGCCAATGGTAGCTGAGAGGCGGGTCCCACAGCCAACCTCAGCCAACGGGAGTTGAGGGGCGGGTCCCTCTGCTAACCTTGCCCAATGGCAGCTGAGGAGCTGGTCCCATGGCCAACCTCAGAAAATGGTAGTTGAGGAGCTGGTCCCATGGCCAACTTAGCCAATGGGAGTTAAGGGGCGGGTCCCACTGCTAACATCGCCCAATGGGAGTTGAGGGGTGGGTCCCACTGCCAACCTCGCCCAATGGGAGTTGAGGAGCAGATAGCTGAGGGGCTGGTCCCACTGCTAACCTCATCCAATGAGAGTTGTGGGACGGATTTCATTTCCAACATCACCCAATGGTTGCTGAGGGGCGGGACCCACTCCCAACCTCACCCAATGGTTGTTGAGGGGTTGGACCCCCAAACCAGTTCTTGGGCTGATGCTCTTACCACTGAACATATTGGCCAGAGCTGTTCATTACATTTTTCAAAATAATTTTTTTATTTTGGAATAATTCTAGATTTCCCCCCACAATTGCATAATTAGTACAGCGTTCCTTGCGCACAGGTCTGCATAGCTAGCCTCTCCAGTTGTTCACAGTTTCCATAACTCCAGCGCCGACACAGCTAACAAGTGAGTGCTGGTGCCGTGCTTGAATTGGACTCTAGACTGTGTTTTCCTGGTCTTTGACTAATGGCCTTCTTCTGTGGGAGGATCTTCCCGGAACCCGGCGCTGCTTTCAGCCCCGTCTGTGCAGTGTCTCCCGGGAGTCCTTGTTTTTAATGGCTTTGACGGGCTTGGAGGGAGCAGAGGGGCTACAGCATTTGGACGGGTTTAAGACCGGGACTCATGAGAGGACACAGTCCTCCCTTGGCCATGTGCATGTCCCAGCTGGGAAGGCAGAGCCTCCCAGCACAATTCTATCCAACAGCTGGAGTTGTAAGCTGGAACCTATGGTCTGAACACGTGGCCCCACTTGCCTCAGTGATATAGGCTGCAGGTAACCCAGGTTTGCTCAGGTGCATGTAATGGAGTAGGATGGAACCCTTGAGAATGCTGTAACATCTTGACCAAGTCCTTTGTGGCTTCTGCTACAAAAACAAAGACTTGGCTTGTGGGCTTGGGTGCCACTCTCAGGAAGCAGCATCCCCCCGAGCCCCAGCTTTCATCTCTTGTCTGTCTTTTCCAAGCTTTTCAGCCGCCCCCTCTCAGGGCCGCCCTGGGCCGTGTGTGGCTGCACCTTGCTGGTCTGTGTTTTAAAGGATGCCATTTGGATTCTCTGATGTTTTCCTC